TCCAGTCCCCGACTGTCACCGCTTCCAGGCCGCCTGCTGTTCGCCGGCTACAATGACTACACCATCAACCTGTGGGACGTGCTCAAGGGCGCGCGCGTCTCCATCCTGTTCGGACACGAGAACCGCGTCAGCACGCTGCGGGTGTCCCCCGACGGCACGGCCTTCTGCTCGGGGTCCTGGGACCACACCCTCCGGGTAAGGCGCCCGCCTCCCGCTCTCCCGCCTTGTGGTGACGGGGGCTCCAGGCTGCCCTGACGTCTGCAAGCCGGGTGCCCTCTGCTTCCCACGAGGTTAGCGCGCTCCTGACCTTGGCCCCAAGTGTGCCCAGGTGGGCGTTCATGGAGCAGGGCCGGGGCCCTGCCGCCTCACTAGGCTGCCGGGGACAGCGCAGACAGGTCGGGGATGTCCAGTTCCCGCACCAGGGAGCTCCCTGCCCGTCGGTGCCCAGAGCCTGGCGCAGCCCGCAGTGGGTGGGGACTGAACAGCCCAGCCATGTCTTCCAGGTCTGGGCTTAGCCCTCCCTGGAGATGCAGCAGGACCCGCGCTCCGCCGGCTTGGTGAGGAAGCTTCCTGCCGCCCGCACACGCCCACCCCGGGGACTGCAGTGTGCTTGCCTCAGGCAGCCACGGTTGTCGGTTTTCCTGGTTGCCCTGCCTTTGCGAAGTTACTTCCCAGTCTCCAGTCACTGTCACCCAGGGCCCGGCCCTGCGCCCGGCCAGCGGGAGAGGAGAGGGGCTCCAGCACCAGGCCTGGTCAGGCAGCAGCGGCGCTCGTAAAGCGTGTGTTTCACCAGCTGCTCCTGGTCTTCTCCATGAGACCCGTTTGTCTAGGCGCTGCCACAGGCGGAGCTGAGGCACAAAGCACGGGGCAACAGCCCGTGTCACCCGGGCACAGAGGGCCACTGCTGTGACACGCATGCTGCTGAGAGCAAGCTCAACTCCAAAGCCGACTAGAGCCGGCGTGGTGGCCCACGTCTGTGATCCCAGCACTCGGGCGGCCGAGGCAAGCAGGCTGCTGCGAGTTTGAGGCCAGCCTAGGATACGTAGTAGACCCTGTGTTTCAAAAAAACAAAACAATTCATAATAATTAAATAAGTGCTGGTGAGCAGTATTAGTACAGACAAGTCCCAGTGGGTCCTGTCTGTATCGGTCACACCTGCGCTGTGGCGGGGTGGACAGTCGGCGGGTCTCAGGCCGTACTGTCCTCGTTCCTCTCCTGACAGAAGAAAACAGCATCAAGGGAGCATCTGTCTTTGTCTAAAACTCAGAATTCCTGTAGGAGACATGAGGACTGGTGTGTCACAGGGCCGTTTCTTTCCTCTCCTCCTCTCCCTGGGGTGCAGAGGGAAGGACCTGGGCGTTCTGGGGTCACATGTGTCGCAGTCAGTGTGTTCGGCAGCTGCGCCCCCAGCCACCCCCGCCCCTCTGGGCGCCCCAGCAGTCCCGCAGCACCCCCGGACCCAAGCTTTGGATTACGGCATGGGGGCTGTGAGAGCTCCGTGAAATAAATTGTATTTTGCATACTGAAAATAGTGTCAAGTGGTTTTTGTACCATTCTTTCCTTCTAGAGGACTTGGGGCCACACCTGCTGTGAAAAGGGGAGGCTGGGTAAGGGGTAGCAGGGCCCGGACAGCCCCTCACCCGCCAGGGGCCAAGCTAGGCAGAAGGGTCGGGGAGGGGGGCGCCGCTCAGGAGGCAGATGGAGGAGAGGGGCACCGCCACAGCCCTGCTCTCCCCTCAAGACCACCACGCCTCCCAGATGGAGCAGGGTGCCAAGCCCAGCGCTCTGGAGGCTGGGGCGGGAGCGCTGCAAGTTGCAGCCCTGCCTGGGCAACTTAGTGACTTGGAAGATGTCTCGACAGAAAAGCAGCACGCGGTGGAGAACAGGCCTTTGGAGGCAGGCTTCGGAGCCGCTCCACTGGGCCTGCGACGGCTGAGTCGGGAGGGGCAGCACGGTGACAAGGGGGCGGGTGCCCAGCAGACGCAGTGCTGACGTCCACGTCAGCCTCGTTCTGTCTGAAACGGGCCCTGCAGCCCGGCAGCTCCTGCCCTTCCTGGCCCTTGTTTTCCCCTCTGCCCTGCCCTCCTCACTCCCCTCCTCCTGCCCCTAAGGGTGTCCGCCAGCAACCGTTGATGGCGGCCACCTAGGCCGGTGGGTGCCACCTTTGGTGTCTGGGCCCCTTCTGCATCCCCAAGATACGGAAGGCTCTGGATATGAGGTGCGATCAAAATTCACGGTGAACATTTAAAGTTTTATCACAGCAAAAGATACATTGCCTGAGCCCTTCAGAAGCCCCCTCGCCTGGAACACCCTGTCCCCTGGTTCTCACCACTCCCTGAAGCAGCTCTGGCGTCCACTTTTCTGAGGACCTCGTGTCTTTATGAGGCAAGATCAAAAATGCGGTGAACGCGAGGGCCATCCAACAGAAAGGCAGCTCATAAAAAGATGCTGCATCCTCATCCACTTCTATTCACCAGATCTGATCCCACTGACTCCTGCCTCTGCCCCAAAGTCTGAACTGAATTCATTCAGGACCTCAAGGCAGCCACAGAAGCACAGCTACACTTAGGAACGGACTCCAGAGCTGCTTCAAGGGCAAGGACCGCGAGATAAGTGTGTTCAACGCGAGGGTACATTTGGAGGGGGATTCACTGCAATGTGTCTTACTGTAACACATTTTTAAAAATCTGAATATTCACCATATTTTGACCGTACCTTTTAGCTTGTTCATGTTGATCACTTCCTTCTGTATTTACCATGTGAGAACCTCAGACTGAGAAATCCTGTGAGGCACAAGAACAGAGGAGCACCTGTCCCTCCAGCCCCCCGGGGACAGTGTCACCCATGTCAGCACCTGTGCAGCCTCCTGAGAGGACCAGAGGGAGGAAGCCACTGGGGCCAAAGAGTCAGAGGCAGGTGGCAAACAGCTGGACCTCCAGGGCCTGAAGGAGCCTCAGGGACCCTCGACAGCACCAGAGACTCCAGTGAGCCGTTTTCAGAGCCTCTGTGGAGAGCTGCCTGGGCCAGCAGGCCTCGGAGGAGCTTTGGAAGGAAGGAAGGAAGACACCAGGATGCGGGAGGAGGAGAGGCCGGGGCTGCGGACAGAGTGGGAGCCTGGGGTGTGACTGACAGTCCTGGCCCCTCAGCTTGAAGGGGTTGAGGGCCACCTCGCTGTTGGAGGACTCGGTTCTGGGCGTGCCTGACACCGAGATGCAGCGGCACCAACAGGCTTGTGGGCGGCGGGATAAAGAGGAAAGGAGGAAGTGGCGGCCTTTGCAAAAGCTATCTTTGTGACCACCTTTGGGCCTCGGTCTCCAGTTCCCGCGGCTTCCAAGGCAAACCCCACCGCGACTCTGCCCAGGGAGCTCCCGGGCTTGGCCCCAGACGGGCGCTGCATCCTTGATCACGGTGTCCCCCACCTTGGGCCGAGCAGCTGCCGGGTCCCCTGGGTCTCCAGTGTGCAGACGGCCGCTGTGGGTTCTCCCGCCTGACCCAGTCAGCTACCCAGCAAGTCCCTGCACAACCGCACGTGTTCCCACTGACCCTGTTTCTCTCCAGAACCCTCAGTAATACTGGGGCCCGGGAACCCCTGAGAACCTTTTCAAAGGCGGGTGACAGGGACCCCAGGGTTAGAGACGAAGTGGGTGGGATTAGGGTGCTGCCCCAGCAGGGATCGTAGCTCTTCTTTCCCAGACTTTGCTGCCGAGAAATCACCGTGGTGAACCACAGGCCTAGACCCTGTCCTGAGCTCCCTAGATCCAGGCCGGGCCCAGAGCTGCTGGTCCCATGCGCTGCGAGGACACCGCTACACCCGCACCTCCCATCTGCTGTGGAGAACCAGGTGCTCTCCGGCACGGGCCTCTTTGTCTCACTTGGGTGATTTTCGGGACCGATCCAGCTCCACACGGACCATGCTGACCCAGGGCCAACTGTGGTGCAAGAATTGAAATTATTTCATATTTTCCACCGCTATAAATAAATGCAGGCCTGCCCCGTGAGGAGACGGGCTCAGGATGTAGCCCAGCCCAGCTAGGTAGATGTGAACTCCTGACTGAGTACACCAGGGGGACGTGCGTGCCAGAGAAGAAACCAGCCACCAAGGCCGCCTCCTGCGTGATCCCTGTATGTGAGGCGTCTGATTGGCAAACCATGGACCCTAGGTAGATCAGCGGCCACTTCCAGCTGGGGTGTGAGTGGCTCCTTGTGGTCCTGGGTTTCTTGTGGGGTAAAGAATTAAGGTGATGACTGCAAACCTATTCAGTGTAAATGCACTAAAGCCCGCTGGATTGCGTACTTTAAATGGGTGATGCCTCTAGGAATTATATCTCAATGCATCTGTTATTAAAAACACTATGGTAGGAAGAGCCAATACAGTGAAAATGGCCATACCTCCAAAACTGCTGTACAGATTCAATGCAATCCCAATTGAAATCCCAACACTATACTTCCCTGAACTAGAGAAAACAATCCAAAAATTCATTTGGAATCAGAAGAGACCTAGAATAGCAAAAGCCATTCTAGGCAACAGAGACATGGCAGCAGGTATCACAATCCCCAACTTGAAACTATACTAAAAAGCCACTGTGATAAAAAAAAATTGTATGGCAAAGAAACAGACCAAAGGCTCAGTGGAATAGATTAGAAGATGCAAAAACAACTCCAGACATACTCAGCTACCTCATCTTTGACAAAGGAGCCAACCATCCTCACTGGAGGAAAGATAGCCTCTTTAATAAATGGTGCTGGAAAAACTGGATTTCAACTTGCCAAAGATTAAAACTAGACCCCTGTCTTTCACCATGCACTAAAGTAAAATCCAAGTGGATTAAAGATCTAAATATTAAAATAGAAACACTAAACTTACTGGAAGGTAAGTTAGGTAGAACTCTTGAAGATATTGGCATAGGAGAAGACTTTATGAACAAATCCTCAGTAGCACAGAAACTTGCACAAAGAATCAACAACTGGGATCTCATCTTTTTAAAAAGCTACACTGCAAGAGAAACCACCAACAGAGCTAAGAGACAATGCACAATGTGGGAAAAAATATTTATCAGCTGTTCCTCAGACAAAGGTCTACTATCTAGAATACATAAAGAACTCAAACCAGGCATGGTGGTGCACGCCTATAATCCCAGCACTCAGGAGGCTGAGGCAGGAGGATTGCTGTGAGTTTGAGACCAGCCTGGGCTACATAGTGAATTCCAGGTCAGTCTCAACTACATAGTGAGACCCTGTTTCAAAAAAAAAAACAACTCAGAAAAATCAGACACCCCCTCAAATTTAAAGAGCCAATTCAAAAGTGGACATCTGAAATGAACAGACATTTCTCAGACAAAGAAGTAAAAGCAGCAAGTAAATATATGAAACAATGTTCCATATTACTGGTCATTCGAGAGCTGCAGATGAAAACAACACTGAGATTCTACCTCACCCCACAAAGAATGGCTGCTATCAAGGAATCAACCAATAACAAATGCTGGTAGGGTTGTGGGGAAAAGGAACCCTTCTCCATTGTTGGTGGGCGTGCAGACTGGTGCAGCCACAGTAAAAATCGATATGAAGATATCTTAATCAACTAGGATTAAAGGTCCCATTTGACCCACCTATCCCCCTGCTGGGTGTCTTCCCAAAAGAATTAAAAGAATCATACCACAGCAATATATGCTCTCCCATGTTTATAGCAACACAGTTTGTAACAGCTAAAACTTGGAAACAGCCCAATTGCCCATCAACTGGAGACTGGGTAAAAAAAAGACGTTTTTTGTTGTTTTTTTTTTTTAATAAAATGGAGTACTACTAAGCCATAAAGAATGAGAAACTAGCCGGGCATGGTGGCACAAGCCTGTAATCCCAGCACCCCAGAGGCTGAGGCAGGAGGATCGCTGTGAGTTCGAGACCAGCCTGGGCTACAAAGTGAGTTCCAGGTCAGTCTCAACTACATAGTGAGACCCTGTTTCAAAAAACAAAACAAAACCAGAATGAGAGACTAGAGACATTTATAGCTAAGTGGATGCACATTGAGGCCATACTCTTACGTGAATAAATAAGACTCATATGTGCGAATACCAGAGTTTCTCTGGTATGAAAAACTAAAAATGTATATAAGGATCAAAATGTATAATTGATATTGTATAATAGAAAGAAAAGGTCTAAAAGAGTAGGGGAAGTGGGAGGGGTAAGGAAAAGGTAAGAAGGCAAAAGAAAAAATATGAGAAATGGAAAAACATGGAAACAAAGTCTTTGTAAATAGGGAAAGGTGGAGGGGGAGAAGGGAGGACTGGGGAATGGGGAAAAAATAAGATCCAAGACGTGTCATGTAAAGGTACAAGATCCCAATGATGAATATATCCATACTGTATACCTAAAATGTACCAATAAACTTTAAAAAAATACTATGGAACATAATTGGCAAACTAGCTATTTTCAATATGAAAAAGAAACACCCAGGCATTGCAGTGCACACCCATAATCCTAACACTCAAGAGGCTGAGGCAGGAAGATCACCATGAATTTGG